TCTGTCGGAGGGTGAAGATATGATCAATACACCCTCTTCCTGGTCTAAAGCCTGCCTGGCTCTCTCGTGTTTGTGCTTCCCGAGCACCACTCAGTCTACGCATGATTATTGAGCCTAAGACTTTAGATACTATATTAGTCAAGCTAATCCCACATATATCCCCGCACTTCGTGTGTATGTAGCAGAAGCCTCCGCTTACACAACTTGGTGACGCCAACGTTAGCCGCAAACATTTCGTAGTCTATAGTAGCATTGATGATTTATCCCATGAATAGAAACAGACCATCTTCACAGGCATAATGAAAGGTAATCTAAATAGAATTTATAGGAAATATGAAACAAAGTGTCACTACAGATTTAGATCGGACCTTGCTTTAACTCACAGAAATAGTGGGAAAAGTAGAAATAATTGGATAAGTAATTTATGGAATTTGCTCTCAGTCGAATAAGTCAAATTAAAATTTTAAGCTTTAATATGCCTATGAATGTAGTTTTCACGTGGACGCCAACACAGCTTTTCAAGGAAGGCTATGTCTGTTCATGCCTCACGTGTTATAGCCACCTCAGTCGGTTCAGCTTCACAATCTCATCATCGATTGTCTTCCCTACCCAGCTAACTGAAAGTGTTCACAAGACTATACCGTAGGCCGATGAGACTGTTCCACGTCAACAGGCTAATGCATCTCTGGGGTTTATCAGAATCGCAGGTGTTGTGAGACTAAATACCCCTGGGGATATTGGACATCCTTTCAGATGGCAACTCTTATACGACTGTGAGTCCCCAAAGAGTAGTTTGGTTAGTGCGGCACACTTTCTCACGGAGAGAAACTGGTAGAACACCGCTCTGTCGACAGGGTGAATCGCCGTGGAATAATGGTCCTACTTAGTTTACCGAAGCTTAGTAAAAGGACTAGGTTTCGAGGTTACAATCAAGAAATATGCTAAGTATTGAGCTAATGCAGTGTAATTTGACAACGTATTCGTTGCTGACGACATTAGAATCCATACATACGCTTTATGTTCGCTTTTAGAATGATTTGCGTGACTTTTATCCACCATGTTGAGAACAGAATATAGTAGTCACTGCTCAAATGTGACCTGATGGAGACCCGCTAGTGTTGGCGGTGAAACTGACTAATCTACTTCGACGCGCGCTTCCCACTTTAGATGAAGAATCAGAAGCGCAGTTACTGTCTTCCCAATTCATCGAGAGTGTCCCAGACCACATTTCTCAGCGATTACAACTGGTTAACGCAACGCAGCCGATGGATATTAGTGAGCTGGCGAAGGTGACCAGACAGCTGCTGAGCACAACGGTAGCCGCTATAGACCAACCAAAACCAAACGAATATGAGCAGAAAATTGAAGCATTGCAGCGGGAAGTGGCGGCGTTAAAGTTGGCTGATAGAAAAGACCGGTGTTTTGAATGCGGTAAGCCGGGACACTGGAGAAGATACTGCCCAGAAAGGCGAAAAAGAAAAAATTTCAGACGGTATAATGCTTGTTCTTTCTTTCGTATGAACCTAGATTTAGTGGGGGCTATTGAGAAAGGGGCTCTGTATTCGAAGTTGCGAGTGAATGATCGAGAAGTAGTATGTTTGATAGATACAGGGGCGGCCGTGTCGTTAATAGATAAGAATTTATGTAAGAGTGTTAGTCCGTGTTCATTGACAGTACAAACAGTAGGCGGGTATGTGTTGCGTATCACGGGTAGATCGAACTGTACGGTCGTTGTTGGTGGCTGCGAGGTGACGTTTCCTTTCATTGTTGTACCCGAACTACAGCGAACGATATTAGGAGCGGATTTTCTGCGTGAGATTGGTGCCATAATCGACACGCAAGCGAACGTGGTGATCACGAAATACGGGCATATCAACATGTATGAGACCAGCGAGATAGCAGCGATTAAGCTGTCGACGGTACACAATGTGACAGAGTTAATTAATAAATACGATCATCTGTTCACTGGAGATGGCGACCCATACGGTTATTGCGATAAGGTGAATCATGAAATTCCGTTAAGTGATCCGAAAGTAAGGTCATTTTTAACGCGAAGAGTTCCATGTCATCTGGAAGGCGAAGTGGAGCGACAAGTGCAAGAGATGTTAAAAGATGATATTATTGAGGAAGCTGATAGCCCGTACAACTCTCCAGTGCTGTTAGTAAAAAAAGCGAATGGGAAGTATAGATTCTGTGTTGATTTTCGACAGTTAAACAGTATGACAGAGTTAAGACCGTGTGCCATGCCAACAGTGGTAGAAACTTTAGATCGCCTACAAGGTGCGAATGTGTTTTCGGTTCTCGATCTTCGCTCAGGATACTGGCAGATACCGATAAAACAAGGTGATAGAGATAAGACGGCTTTCATCGTGGGTCAGACACAATATCGATTTAAACGCATGCCGTTTGGACTAGCAGGTGCACCGTTTACGTTCAGACGACTGATGAAGCTATTACTTAGGAACTTGAAAAACGTGGAGGTTTATGGTGATGATCTCGTCATATACAGTCAAAACGAAAACGATCACGTCAACCATGTAGAAGCCGTGCTGCGACGCATCGAAGAGTTTGGACTACGCGTCAACAAAACCAAGTCTCAGATAGCCAAAAAGAATGTTACTCTGTTGGGACATAAAGTGGGAAATGGTGAGATTAAACCACTGCCGGAGAAAATTTTGACGATTAAAACGATTCCAGCCCCGAATTCAAAGAGAAAACTGAGACAATTCTTGGGTAGAGCAGCGTTTTATAGTCGCTTCGTGAAGAACTTCAATGAGATAGCAGCCCCTCTATACAGGCTACTAGGTGAGCCAAAGTTTGTTTGGTCGGAAGAATCGCAGAGGACATTCGACAGAATTAAACAGCTGCTCGACCACCAACAAATGACGCTAAAACTACCTGTGCCAGGAAGACAGTTCACAGTGTGCACAGATGCCAGTGACTACGCTATAGGTGCGGTCCTAAGACAGGACGAGGGAATCGTTGAGTATGCCAGTAGGGTTTTGACCCTCACAGAGAGAAAGTATTCAACGATAGAGAAAGAATGTTTAGCAATGGTATGGGCAGTCGACAAATGGAGACCTTATTTACTCGGCCGGCGGTTCCACATCGAAACTGATCATAAGCCGCTACAATTTTTGAAGACAGCGAGAGACCCACGGGGGAAGTTGTCACGGTGGATGTTGCGTCTTCAGGAGTACGATTTTACGATCTCACACGTTCCTGGAAGTGAAAATGTCTTGGCAGATTTGTTATCGAGACCAGAAGATGAGTCTGAGTTGCCCGAGGTCGCTTACGGAGTGCATGCAGTAGAACAAGACCCACTAAGACTTGCACGTAGGCAGAGGTTGGACGATACGCTGAATACAGTAATACAGGTGATCACCAACGGAATAGAAGTGGATCAAACTACGGCGAGTAAGGAGCTAACCACACTACTCAGACAGAGGGATCGACTCAGAGTGAATGCCTACGGGACTCTGACCTGGCGAGAGAACGACGGAAGCTGGCTGGCTGTCATACCTCAATCGTCGCGCCACGACATGATAGAAGAATGTCACCAGCTAGCGCATACAGGCGTGGCCAGAACGACCGACCTCCTAAGACAAAGTATGTACTGGCCAGGTATGAGAGAAGACGTAGCAAGATACGTACTTGGATGTCCACGGTGCCAGCTGATGAAAGGTGACCGGTATATACGACCACCACTTCAGTCGATTCCAGTTACCGCGATAGGTGACTTGTGGTCCGTAGATGTCATGGGTCCATTTCCTCAGACATCCAATGGTAATCAGTACCTCTTGGTGATGACGGAACACGCGACACGATGGGTAGACGCCGTAGCAATCCCAGACCAACGTGCAAGAACCGTGACAGATGCAGTAGTTAGACACATTGTTGCAGACCACGGCGTACCGAAGACAATACTGACAGACCAAGGTCCCTGTTTCGAGAGTGAAGAGTTTACTTCCCGTTTGCAACAGCTGGGCATCAAGAGGATCAGAACGACCCCATACCATCCACAAACGAATGGCCTAACGGAGAGAAACAACCGTACACTGAAGGAGTGGCTGGCTTCGAAGGGCGGGAACTGGGAAACGGAGCTTCCACTGATTTTACTAACACATCGGGCTAACACATTGGAATGGATATTGTTTGTTTAGCTAGCAAGAGCTATACACGGGTAGAGTCCACGAGTGAACAGATAGGCTGTTTAGTTCAGCCCATACAAAGAAACGAAGCTTCCGATAAATTCAGGTTTTTGAAAAAGTGTAGTTATAATCTGTAAGTAACTGGGTATCTATTGAAACCTATCCCTTAACTCAATAACAGTCTTCACCTGATTATTAATTAGACAATCTCTGCATTAAAGTTAAATACCTGCTACCAAAATATCTCCATTTATTTGATAACAGTTGAAATTTGTTGTTACAAACACTGAATAGTTAGTAGATTGTTGTGATATCAAATAATATTTGTTAAACGGTTTGTTCACACTTCATGAATCACTAAAGAGTACAGACAGTTGTACAAAGCTAATTCAGAAAAATCACCTTTCAATGCTAAGTTGTTGTAACCGAATCGTTTGCGACAAAAATAAGATGGTACATACTAAAGGTCGATATGACTAGGTGGGGAACACACGCATCAAACACCTTTGCTCGCCGCCAACCAGGTCAAAGCGATTTCAACATCGGGCGACCATTCAATGAACTTAGTCACTTCAAACCACTGGAATCCTGGTTAACTTCCCGGACTAACTGGTGCTGCATAGAATCCAATTCGCCATTCGCGGACAACACAAATCTTCCGAAGGAAACCATGGTGGATCTGTGGTACATAGTCTTTACTGAAAATGAAAGCCTAACCAGTTAGTCGTATGTCAGATGTAGAGGCAAACCAATTTTGAATGTTGTAATTTAAATAACTAGACATATCTGACAAATTTATTTCCCACATATAGCAATACAAGCGACTGGTAAAATTTGTTAAAAATATTCTATACTTGATTAAGTAGAGATTTTAAGACAACCTGTAGTGATCTCGTGTAATCCTATCAGAGTATTAAAGCCAATTTAGTAAGTGTACAACTAGTATAAACATGATAGACATGACTTGCAGCTCGACAGAACGCTTCTGACTTATATCTCTTAACATAAGAAAAGTAAACGTATGTTCCTGATCATTTATTTGTGCAAAAAATTAACGAAAAGAAATCACTACCCTGATACGGTAATTACATAATAAAAAAGAAAATGTTATGGTGTGTGTGTTTCAATAAGCTGAATGTGAGAGATCTTGCAGGGAAAATATTAGAAAACTCCTAGAGGCGTCAGTGATTGATCCAGGAAACGACGTTTACCAAAGCACAGCCACCACTGTTTGGATTAGATAAGAAAACAATAAGATGTCAGCAATACATTTGCTGCTGAATAAAAATATCAAAACTATTTCGCTGATAAGAATAATGGATGAAAACTTACACCAGACTACAGAATACAGTCGCATCATACTTTCGATACCAAATTTACAAAATCGGTTTAAATTTACGACTGATTAACACACTTTTATAAATAGACTGTAGCTGTATTTTCACTGTTACTCACTTATTTGTAGTTTGCTTTTAATTGATTCCAAAGTCTCATTTTCTTAATTTAGTGTGCGTTGATCATACATTTTTAGTCTACGTTAACGTGAGTAGAGTAGACTCAGAAACTAGAACCTAATGAATGAATCTCAAGTTCTTGAGTAAATGAACTTATTGTCAACTATAAACACGATAATAGACACTGAAAACATTTTTACGTGTAGTGTGGTTAACAGGAGGACTGCGTGTGTATTGTGTTCAGGAAAGAATAAAATGAGAAGTAGGACTGTAATGTGCAAAAATGTAAACATAATAGTAATTACGGTTAAAAAAATTAAGCAAGAAAACGAATAAAATGAAAAAATATTAATAATCTCAGGCATAAAATAACTAATCCGGATATTCCCAAAAAATAAATATTTTTTCTGTTTTAGAAAACAAAAGAAAATTTGAACAATGAATGTATTCATTTCGATAGTTCCCTCTTCCGGCTCTACAATTATGCTTATACATAATATCAAAAAGATTACAGTTCAAGAAAGAAAGCATAAGTTTATAATAAGCATACAAATTCAATAGTAAATAGAATGTCAAATAAAATTAAGGAAATCTATACAACAAATCAGTGAGCTACAAAGAGCGTACAATGCTGCTGTGTTTTCAAAACCACTCCTATTTTGCATTCGGGACTTAAAGGTAAACTACCTAACTTCGCCTCTTCTATGTGTATCTATCGGTTTGACTGCTCCTATGGAGCCAGTTACACAGGCCATACGATTAGGCATGTCTATCATCGGATTTACGAACACTATCCTGCGTGGTTAAGTAAGGGAGAAACAAAGTCCATTAACAGTTCTATACTGTCTCATCTCATAGATACATAACACGAAATTGATGTAAACAAGGTCTTCAGATTCACCTACCATATACCGACCAACCTTAACTTCACCTCAATAGTTCGTCTGTTACATATTACTAAGGCTGTCGGAATCTACATTAGGCCTAATCTACGTATCCAAAAGAAATTAGTTCAGACTACTTTTCTTACCTTGACCATCAAAGGTTTTAATGGCTCTTAATTTGTTTTATAAAAAATCCAGTAGTTCAGCGAAGAGTATCTTTCCGGCGAATTCATTCTCACAGCTGTACAATCGCAAACATATATGATAATTTTGTATGTGTGTGTACATTGAATTTGTCAGAGGAAAATACAATTGGTAAGTTTTCGGTGGAGTTACGTAATATCAAAAGAATTCAGAGAAACTGGATGTTGATATAAAGGGTTAGTAACAAAAGTGATAACTATTCATGTTATTACGTAACTCTTCTTTAACAGTCGTTTGTGACAACTCATCACTTTTGCTATTACCCCCTTTATCAACATGGGATTCCTCTGAATTCTTTTTATTATATAGCTCCACCAAAAACTTACTAATAGTATTTTCCTTTGACAAATTTAATGTATAAAAACAAAATATTTGAGCAAAGAATATTCTTTTCGATGGTTTCCTCTTCTGGCCCTACTACAACTATATATGTTTATATACATGGAATATTCTAGAATAGTAGTCAATAACAATATTAGTGTCTTTCAAATAATATCGACTTGTAAAGTAAGATCAATGGAATTACAGTTCATTAAAGATGCTTAAATTATAACAATAATAATAAAAATACAATAGCAATTATAATTTAAGCATCTTTAATGAACTGTAATTCCATTGATCTTACTTTACAAGTCGATATTATTAGAAAGACACTAATATTGTTATTGACTACTGTTCTAGAATATTCTATGTATATAAACATATATAGTTGTAAGGCCAGAAGAGGAAACCATCGAAAAGAATATTCTTTGCTAAAATTTACCTCTGTCTTCTAAATGTCTGAATATTTTCTTTTTTTGATATCCTGTTTAAATGTCTTATCATATTTCATTACACACTGAAGAGAAATTTAATAAATCAAGCAGAACTTAACTCTAATCTCATGCTTATTTCACACTCACACGGTGTAATACCGTGGTTTCTTTATATTTACCGTGATGTTCTTAGAACTCAGTTACTCGAATCAGCTTCTTTATGTACCAGACTATGAAACACTCATTCCAATAATAGTCAGCTGCTCAAGGCTGAAATAGTTGGTGGTGAGACCAGAAATAATGAGTCATTGACCAACAGTCGGGTGCTTAGACCAATATGCAATTAATTTACGGTACAATCCTTTATGTTTAAACTGAGCAAGAAAGGACTCAAAGTAAACTTGTTTTTATGAGTCAAAAGACTGAATTAAACCTGTATAAATTACCTTGTTTGGTGGACTGTTGTCATCAGAATACACTTTATCTATTAAGCGTACACCCAATTCCTGTCTTAGCTGAGTAAGATAACCACGCATTGCTTCCAATTCTGTAGAGTTTTTCGGTTTAGCATACATATTGTTCAGTTCTCGGGGAAAATCTGGATCACCTGGTAAATCAAAACGGCTGATAGCCATAGCAGCCAATTCTTTTCCTGCAACAATTCTGTTAGGACACTGTAAGGAGTGAATGAAGAGATACTTAGTTAATTCGTTCATTAACGTATAATAAATAATCTGAAAAGAAAATCATAAAATCTACTAATGAAATGTAACCAGAAGGTCCTGGGTTCGAACACAAGTGGGTGCGTACTGCTGAAGAGTCCCGAACTGTTGAGACGAAACAGCTGTCCAGTACTCCCAGGTTTCCCAATGGTTCTCTAACTAATGTCAGCTCATGATGAAATCCTACAAATGCAGTAAAAGTATTAATAAAGAAATGAGCTCTTAGCGTTAACTGGTAAACGATCTGATCTGATGATACGTGTATAATACACTTAAATATAATGAAGTGACTACTAATGACAGTTCCTAACTTGATTCTTACTTTATCCCAAAGATTGACAATAGGCAATAAAACTAGACAGGTGTACATGCATACACTTATTAACTTTTGCAACAAGTATGCAATAATACACACACACACACACAAATGAAAGTTAAGAGACACCAAAATGCTGTTAACGATTATTTTGCAACTGTGACTTCACCTGGTTTAAATTCAGTGACTTGATTTATCATGAATAAAACTGAATCGCCGGTGACGTTATATCATGGAGTTGTGCACAGGTGTATATATCCATTAAAAAATTATCCACACACGCTGGGATTATTCTACATAATTTTACAATAATTCGATCTTGCTCTATGTTGAAACCATTGAAAAGAAATTTAATTGAATTTGAGATTTCTCCATCGATTGATCAGACCGAAGTGCTCGGTCTCAGGTTGACATGTCGGCTTCTTATGCAGATGCTTCGACGATGTCTAGTCATTTAATTAGGATTTAATTTGTGGATGGTGACTAGCAGTGAAATCCAGGATGGGCATTTCGTCCTATTCGGGACTCCTCAACTGGGTGTACCTGCATTTCTCAGTGAGTGATGATGTCCCCACTGACGCCCGAACCCAGTGCCCTTAGTTTCAAACGCCAGAGCATCATCCACTAGACCACTGGGAAATGCAGGTACATCCAATTGACGAGTCCCAAATAGGACGAAACGCGCATTCTTGATTCCACTGCTAGTCACCATCACAAATTTAATTGAAAAGAAAATTCAACCCATCTGTATTCTGGATACTTACAATCGTACAAAATCTGTGTTTTCTTAAATTCACCATCCATCATATTCCATTGGATATTGATCTAGAGAACTCTAACTCTAAATAACCATAAATCACATGAATCCCAGTCATTACTTTTATATATTATTAATGCTACACCATTATAATTACTTGTGTGACAATTCAAGGTTGTTTTCAAAATTACATAATAATAAAAATGATCACACTAGGAAATTGGAATGTTTATTCACACTCTTGGGTTAGTAAGTAATTATGAAATGAACTAACGAATGGCTAATCGATTCTTTCTACTGGAATCTTATCAGTAGTCATTTTGATGTAAATGAAACAATCCTAAATACCTAATCAGACAGTCAATTTGAAAGTGACCACAGCTATTATTCGATCAGAAAATATTTTAATTAACAGTTACTATAGTCGTTGAATTAAGAAATGTTAGATGTCGGTGGCATAGCGGTTAGGACGCTCGCCGACCATTCACATGGTCCGGGGTTCGATCCCCGGCCACAGACACACTCCTTTACCTCACTAACCCAGAAATTATACTGGTAAAGAGGAAAGGTTGGGCATGAGGCCTGCAACCCCATCCTGTAAAAATAAACACTGCTACAGAAACTTCAAGACACTAGCTTGAAGCCCTGTTCCACTGGGAACGTGAAGGAAAAGAAAAGATATTTTTTAAGCTTCAGAATAATCCGTAGCAGTTTCATCACCAGGCTGGGTAACCTTTTCAGCACTAAATGTACTAAGTAATATTAATAATAATTATACGGTTGAAGGTAACCAGCAGAAAGTCCTATTTCATGCCTGTTGACACTCGTCAGCAAAGCCTATATTGAACTGCAAATTAGCTGATTTTCTCCTGGTGATTCAGACTCATATCACCCAGTGATGTAGTCACATATATTACCATTAGGCTACAAACTGACTGATTTCAACGAAGAACTTTGCACAGAAGAGCAGCAGTTTGACTCGTCACAGTTCACTTAGCACACAAAGCAGGAGAAGAGATAATAAACAGAAATATGAGGCAAATAGAATAGTACTACGGGAGAACAACAGAGTTGATTGGATATGACAGATCACTAAGAGTGGATGCATCTGCGCCAGTCATTGAGAACGAGGATTCTGAGCCATATCACCGATTGTCTTCAACCTTCATTGGTTCTTACCATTTCTTAGGATCCCAAACAGAAAGTCTACACATCCCTACGTGGTTAAACTAACAGTAATGGATTTCATTGACTAGTGTCATATTTTGGTTTGAACATTATTAGCTAACTCTTTTCCAACCTGACCCTATGTCAGCTAAAACTGCCCATCGAGGGAGGCGATGGCTAGGCATGCGTAGCACATGTCCTAACCATTTCAGTCGATGTAATTTCACAGCCTCATCGATTGATTTCCCCTCCTTACCTAGCGCTCGACCGATGCCTTACCTCAATATTGCTCACCCTATTATACCATTTCACACTGCAGATAGAACGGAGGCACCTAAGATCAAAGACAGCTAGCCTTTTCATGTCCTCTACTCCCAATGGTCATGTCTCACAGCCATAAAGGAGCACAGAGAGAACTTCTGAGCAGTACACACTCCCTTTGGTCGACAGCCAGCTGGATATCACGTCTGCACCAGAGATGACGTTAGTTGGCGTATAACAAACGATTCTTTTGTATCTGCCATGCTGAAGTTTCGTCAGCGATCAATCCATTAGCGCTGATGCAACTCCCCATATAAATGAAGTGGTCAATACGGTCTACCAATTCACTCCCTATCTTTAAGCCAGTGGTCAATGCAGTCCAGTCCTCTAGCATCATCTTACATTTGACGAGAGCGAATCGTACACCAAAGATGCGAAGATTGTAGCTCAAGGTGTTCAGAAGACTCTGCATTTTGTCACCGCCTTCACCCAAGTGGGAGAACTATATCACCTGTATATTCTAAGTCAACGAGATTATTCCCTGGTAACAAGTCGATCCTTGAATCGCTGAAGTCAAGGTTAAGTCCATTAGTACATCTATGATGAAATTAAGCAGAAATGGGGAAAGTGTGCATCCCTGACGGACACCACTGATTGTCACCACCTCAGATGATAACTCTCCATTGGCTCCCATCTGGCTGCACGAGTAGATTGCATTGATCAGTGCGATGTAATTTCATAGCATTCCTTACACAGCTACATGGACTGACTGCCTCTAATATGTCTAGTACCATTTCGAAGCGCGTCAAGATGGCTAGTCACATAGCTTGTTAAACAAGTTGCACACTGGACTAGAAATATAAAACACTGGTAACCTACATCCCAGTGGTTAATCAATGTAGAACTTAAAAATTATTACCCTGTGAATTCATAACTATTTTCAAATTAATCGGTAAAGCAAAACTAACCTTTTGTAATTTTCTTAAGCACTCCAGGATGTACAGAACCAAGTACACAAGTACGCGATCGGCTTCACTCTAAATACACAATAAAAACAATTACATTAGGAATACAGGATTTTCAAAAGTAACAATGCAATATCAATGTAAAAGAAAGAATAATTTGTATGTCTCCCACTTTTTGTCATCATTTATGCTTACTAATTAAAATAAAGTATTCAAAGACACTGTGAGTAACAGAAAGAAACACAAACTACTTGTAAGTCATCCTTATAACACTTTCTTTAGCAAAAAATAAATAATAGTTACTATTAACTGTCTAGTCTGTATCCAAATCAATCTACTCTGCATTACATCAATTTATGGCACCAACCTATTTATATAAGGAAACTTGACCGTTTTTTGCTGGATACAATATCTGCATAAAAATCTAGGTAATGCTTTATTTCCACAAGAGCAGTAACTTAAACTCATATGCTGGAACTTATATGACTGCTAAGAATAACCTCTCTGTGTGGCAAATAAATGTCGTGATATGGAAAGAAAAAATAATAACCTTCAACGTCAGCATCACTACGTGACAATATAACCTAGAGAACTATGGTCATATGTAAAGGCTCATACATACATACATACATACATACATACATACATACATACATACATACATACATACATACATACATACATACATACATACATACATACATACATACATACATACATACATACATACATACATACATACATACATACATACATACATACATACATACATACATACATACATACATACATACATACATACATACATACATACATACATACATACATACATACATACATACATACATACATACATACATACATACATACATACATACATACATACATACATACATACATACATACATACATACATACATACATACATACATACATACATACATACATACATACATACATACATACATACATACATACATACATACATACATACATACATACATACATACATACATACATACATACATACATACATACATACATACATACATACATACATACATACATACATACATACATACATACATACACTTTATACATAATTGAGTTATATCGGTTTGTCCAACTGCCATTTGATCAAGGTTTTATCCTAATTCTATAAGTTGTTCATGTGACAGAAAATAACCGTATGTTAGTGGGTTTTCTTTTTGGGTTTGTTTAAGAAGCAATATAGTAAGCTAATTCCCATATTCGTTTTTACAAACAATTGACTGTTAGTATGTATTCTGGACTGGCAGTATAAGATATGTTGATACGTTATTCTAAGACACAGGATTAGATATGCCCACATTCTTGCCCACCCATATCCCTGTTTGAATGGCATAACAAGATGTCTTCTCGCACCATCATGAGAATTATGGATCTCAAGCTGATAAAAATTACTATTACAATCTTTGATCCATTTACATACACTCAATACGAAGCTGTACTCAATGCTCAGTGCAGGGTTTATTCTCAATTCAGTTCGGAAATACAACAAAAATACTTTCGTTTTCATCTAAAATTCCTTACGTTCCCAGTGGGACATACGGTCTCAACGACATACGTCCATTGCACTCGGTTCTCTCACATTACTTTCAACCAGCTTCCTGACTGTCCACAAAATCCCTCCTCCTTCCCTATATCACCCTCGGACCAAAGCTCAACTTGTCATTGAACATTCCCGTCCCACTTGAGTTTGTGTAAACCACTTTATATGATGATGCATAACGTTGATATTTGCTCCGCACATGACTTGTTCTTCCTGAATTCAGCCTGTTTAGGGCGAAGTCCATGCCATTCCTTCAGGATGACGTGGTTTACTACTTTGCTCGGAGTAGACAGAAAGATGATTGTGCGCCCGTTCCTACAAAGACTGAATTCAGTCCTCTTTGACAGCTCCACACGGTGGCCTTTCTTCCAAACAGCCACTAGCTTCCCTTCACTCCATATCCTGTAGTACTGGCGTGAGCATATCTGTTGTAGTCTCCGAGTCCGTTTTCAGTCCTCCTGAGAGGTTCTATCTGGTCCCGCTTCTTTCCACGATCTACCTCATCTCCTTTAGCACTAAGCTTTCAGCTAGTGCTCTTATGTTCGAATCCCACATGACCCAACCCACCTAGGTGGCTGTGTAGCATCATCATTCCTCAAGCAATGAATGTGCCTCATAAACTGGTAGATAAAATATTTGTTCTGGATATCTGAATTTCTAATTAAGTCTAGCATCCTAGGTGTTCACGGAGTTAGGTTTGCTCATCAATCACCTATCCAATGATAAATTTTCAACTTTGCACACTATTGATTTGAAAATGTAGCTCATATGTACTGGGGAAACCAGACAGCCTAGTTACCGCAGTGCATACAATAAATATGATTTATAACTTCAGTATGATTTACTAAGTTACGCACAGGGTATTTCAATCCAATAGTTTAGACAACAGCCGTTCGACAGCAAGACTATAAGTTGAATATCGGCTTCGGATAAAGAAGTAGGTTAGTAAAAATGTCTCATAGTTTGTGCTATTCATAGCAGTACAAGAATAGTAATTTTTTCTACCACTTCATAAGATAATTATAATATATTTTGAAGAAATAAGAAATTAGATGGTACAGTTACCAGCAAAATGCTAATCGATTAGAAACAATTAATTTAACTAACTCATCAAATGAATGCTTAACCTAACAGAAGACTATTCTCAATACCAACATGTTTTATTTATTCAACATAATCATACACTTTTATATGTTTCTAATTCGAATATGAAGTAGATTAGCACACAACTGCTGTCAGTGTACGTTATGTGTATGAGTGACTGTTTTTTTTTAAACAAAATTTTGAAACCCGCATTTAAATACACGCATAAAATGCCGAGTTTTCTATCTTTTTTCTATATACATATTTAAGGAATCATAGAAACAGGTAAAAGACCTATGGATACTGAAGTAAGATACTGAAACAAACGAGAAATTCAAACAAATTCGTAAATTGATTCAAAATAGATTGTTTAAAACTATTTTTACCGCCTACATTTAAAAATTCTACCTTAAAGATAAGGCGGAGAATTGATCACCTTGCTCAGTATAATACTGAGCCTATCAGGATGTTGTATAGACGGAAAATAAAGTGCAATTTGAACAATGTCAAATGACCACGTGGTAAATAACTAAAATGCGTTATTCTTTAGAAGACTCAAGTCAAAGCAAATTCTTTAGAGAACAAGACTTCGACGACATACCCAATAACTTTACTTCTCATATTTGGAGTAAGTACTAAAGTGGATTAAAACAACATTTTTGTTTTCTCAAGAAACTATGGGTACTGGGTTCGGGCGTCGGTGGGAACATCATCACTCACTGGGAAATGCAGGTACACCCAGTTGACGAGTCCCAAATTGGACGACGTGCGCATCCTGGATTCTACTGTTAGTCACCATCCAATTAAATTTTAGATCAGTTAAATGTTGTTGTTCAAAATAACTTTGGAAGTAGGGAAATCTGTTTACACACTGGATCATCTAACTACTACTTGTCTGCCACACACTCCAAAAATCGTATTCACTAGTGAAGCTAACGCACATTGGAAGGAATTACTTCATCAGCTTGCACAACCATACAGGAACTATAATAAGAATAAATAGTCGAGGGTTTTAAACTGAAATTGAACGATTAAAAAGGTTCTTTTTAGAACGACTTTCATTCATGACAGAATGATGTAGTACTTATTTAACTAAGAAGTTAAATAATAAGCCTTAGGTGTCTTAATCCACGCTATCTACCCGTGAGTCCGTTGAAAGGAGCAATGCCAGGAAGTCTCAAATAGCTTCCAGTGATCTTGTTAAAATGTGAAATATAGTCATTAATTGACAAAATTGAGTCTGTATCTTAGGCCAAAGCAATCTAACTGTTACATAGTGGTCAGCTCTTAAGATCAAGGTTTGTGAATCCCAATGATGAATACAGGATTTTGATATTTCACTCCATGGTATCAATTAGAAATGACAATTCATTAGAAAGACATAGTATATCAATTTTATGATTAACACTTTATAGTTTTTTCTTCTTCTTTTGCAAAAACGTGAATCACCATAGGATTTCAACGACCTAAACTGATTGTATTGCTGATAGGATCCCGCATAAAATAATATACTATCCTTTCTCACAAATGTTGTGATTGATTGTGCGATCAATCATTTCTCACGGCTGTGAGCCGGCCTTATTGTTGCAAAAATGTATAGATATCATGTGTCGTTATCCTAATAAATGTACAGTACAGTACCTAACAGTCACAGATCAACCTTTGTCTTTTGATATTTCCGGGGCTCAGTGAACCGGAAGGGACAACAGGCAAACAGGTATATTAAGGTAGCAGTCGAGTTCATTACCTTTATTTCTGATTAGTAGGCACAGATGTAACAAAGTAGAGACGGGTTTATTAACTACAGTGAAGTTATAACAATTGCACAAACTATACTAAAGGTAACGGGCAAGTATACATGATAGCATTCCAAATATATTGACTTTATCTATTTGAAAAGTTGCATCAACGTAAGTAGGTTAACTGCCAGCGAGCTTCAATACTCAAAAAAGAAAAAAATCCTGAATGCGATCAAGCTACTGAATTCCAGCTGCAAGTCAGCATAGCCAGACGGAATTCCCCTCGAAGCAGTGAAAACGAACCTAGAGACTGAGGCAGATATGCTGACGCCATCATTGCAAACGGTCTGGGAAGAAGAAGTGACCACTGACTGGAAGGAAGACTACTTTGTCAAGCTACCAAAAAATGACAACTTAGGCCTGTGAAAGGACTGGCCTAGAATCATGCTCTTGTCCACACCAAGTAAAATACTGAGTTGTCTCATCCTGGAGAGAATAAAAGATGCACTCAATGCAGAAATCCGCTATCCACACTGGAACAAGCTGGATTCAGGAAAGGCAAATCATGTGCCGATCAAATTGAAACTCTACGCATCGTCATCATCATCACTGAAAAAAGGATAGAATACCAGTCAAACCTTTCTCTACTTCAACAACTTCATCGACCTCGAAAAGGCCTTCACCAGACAGCGTTGACCGAGAAGTAATTTGGAAACCGCTACAACACTACGACGTGCAGTGCCCAAATCTTTATTGATCTCACTCAACAGCTGCCTATGTGAATATGCCACGTGTCAGGTGATCCACAACGGGGAACTCAGAGAGGAGTAAGACAAGCTGGCTGCCTGCCTATTATCACCCACGATGATAGATTATGCGTCAGACTGTGTACAGGGAGTGAGAAGACAAGAATACGCTGTACAGACCGATAAGAAGACCGAGATCTGGATTTCGCAGATGATATATGCCTAACGTCACACAAATTCGAAGACATCCAGGTGAAAAACAACAAACTGGCTGGGTGAACAAGCAGCACTATGAACAACAAGATTCGCATTTTCAACACAAATGTGAAGTCAGTCAGTTCTTCTATACGGGTCAGAAACTTGCACTGAGTGTGACGAAAGGGATCACCAACAAGTTATAGAATTTATGAACAGCTACTACCTTCGCTGGCTTCATACTGAGGATCAAATGGCCAGTCAGAAAGAATTAGTAATAAGTAACTCTGGCTGAGAACAAACCAAGAGCCGATCGCTCAACATATATGTAGGATAAAATGGAGATACATCGGGCATACACTGCGGAGACCGTCAAATGACATCGCGTGCAATGCAGGCTTGCCCAAAATGTTCGCAAGACATCTCAATGCTAATCAGGACTTACTTGTACTCTCTATGAAACATCACAGCGCATAGCAGAAATGGAGTAAAAGCTCCGGAAAATGAAGATGAAACTATGTTAATTTACTAGTGTAAACTTGAAGACACTTCTTCTACTGCATACCATAGAAAATCATCAAAAATACTTATGAATGACAAAAGTAGAAACGAAAAAATGAATCTTACTTTCAGTTCATATTGTCGAAAAAATATAAGTGATTTGAACAAATATAGTGCTTCATCAATAATATCCTTCTCTAAACTTGGATTCATAGGTGCAGGACCGCGGAACTTAGTACGCAAAGGTAACAGAGCCATATTTCCCACGGTATTTGGTGCAGGCACGAATTCTGAATGATACGCCTTAAGAAGTAAATAAAAAATGCACCTAGAGACTGTAAGTTAAATTTATGAGGAATAAATAATAGAATTTGTCGCAAGCGAACCGAACAACTAAACAAAGTAATGGTAGAATGCTGTTAGTTTCTTCCACTAATTGCTATCTAACTCTGAAAATAGACAAAATGTGCTCAAATATGTTCAGTGTTTGGTAGTAAATTCCATATTTGTACCAAAAGTACTCTTTGGAATAAAGCTATTATTATTACTAAAAAATAAAACAAACTATGAAGTAATCTGAACGACTTCCATCAATATCTCACACTTTATCGACAATAGCGTGTATTTAGAGACTACAACTGGCTGGTTTAAGCATCTAGTGTACGAAAGGACTTTAGATAAAAGCATTAGGGATACGGAAAGCAGAGAATTTATAGGAAGAAAAAATTAAGAGGAGGAACAATAAGCGGGTGAAAGTGCATTGGCAATTAATATCTTGCCACTAACAACCCCATAGATGCAAACCTCTTCGAATACCCTGGAAAAAGGTATGGTTTGCATGATCAAAAAGCTCCAGAAACGACTGTCTGAGGCCGGTCATACGGAGACTTTCCCGGCATTATGATTCACGGTGTGTCCGTAAGGGAAACTTTATGATAGGGTACAGGACAGAGCACAGTCGTGACACCCAGATTTTCCCCTACCGCTGTCCTCCTTCCCGTCAGTGTAATTCCGCTGCACTCAGAGCCTCACTATAGCGAAAGATACAATGAGACGGCAACTGCTGCAATCCTGATAATATAAAACCATCAGAAACGATCACTAGTATAACACTTTGGAAAACTGAAGTCCGACGACCACACTTAGGTGCAATCTGTCAGAAACATACCATCATTATGTTCATTTTAACTGAATAAGACATCAAGAATTGTTAATATTCTCCTCAGAATAACTTGTTGAAATATTATGAATAAAAGTGAAGTGGTTAACGTGTAACTCCAACTTCAAATTCACTACAGAAAGTCAAAATAATTCGCCTTATCTTGAACTAGATTAACAAACAGGTGAATTGTTGACTGACTAGTTTCAGCATAGAACTTTGCACCGATGTGCAGCGGTTCAAGTCGCCACACTCCATTTAGCACACAAATCAAGGGAAGAAAGTAGAAGAAATGCAAATTAGAGACAGTAGACAGGGATATGAGACAAAAGTAATAGATACAACGAAGAACAATATAGTTTCATTAGGTATTATAAGTCACAAAATGTGGATGCATCTGCGCCAGCCATTGAGAACGAGGATTTTGAGCCATATCACCGATCGTATCCAATCTTCAATGGTTTTTACCGTCCAGAGGACCCTAACCAGGGAGTCTACACCTTCCTATGTGGCTTAAACTTACTGTTGTGGATTTCATTGGCCGATGCCATGTTTTGGTTTGAACATTATTAGCTAACTCTTTTCCAACCTGACCCTATATCAGCTAACATTGTCCATCGATGGAGGCGATGGTTAGGCATGCGTAGCACATGTCCTAACCATTTCAGTTGATGTAACTTCACAGCCCCGTCTATGGATTTCTCCTCTTTACAATTGTAAACAATATATACTGCGGTTGTAAAACTAATTGTTACACAAAACTTGTAGTTTCATGAGAATAGTAGAGTTGTTTGTTAGGAAAGGTGAAAAGAGTCTATCTACTATCTCTTGGGGCATTTAACGTACCTTTATTGGACAGAAAATTCCCCTATCGTGTAATGCTGGTTTATTTCATTTTACCACGGTCTAAAATGCATATGATAAGCCCATTTATCACAATCTCGAATGTCTAGAAAGTTCTCGAATTGCTCACAATTACACAGCAAATAATGACTTTCTATTACAGCTGAATATAATTTATAATCATATATCTTACTACCGAGACATGAGAATTTCTCGCGTACATATTTGGGTTATTTTTCTGATTTATAAGTAAAGAAAGTGAGGCTGAACTATATGGTATTCTAGGTATTCACTTAGCGATTATCTTTATGAAAACATGAGCTACAATCAGTTATTTCTTTTTTACTTTTACACGTACTTTTATGAAGTATGGCAAACTAAATTGCTGCACCTTTGTCCAAAGCCCCACGCAGGAATTTCAGTTGACACTCACACATTAATTAGGAAGCCAAATAATTCTACAGCCAAGCATTTACAGTAAACATTTCTAGCCAGTCAATTTTCGGAAAACACTCTGTTATTACAGACTGACTCTATGAAGACCAAGAATGGGTTAATCCACGATAAGAACTATGCTCGGCTGGTAGGAGTGAGATTCTCACCACCAAATAGACCCCTTATATCACTGAAGTCTCTTAACTAGTAGCTGAGTACATATATAGTTCACTTATTTTTAATTCAAGGGGTTTACGGGTGTTTCTTACCTTTTGAAATCATTGGTCTAGATAAGCTGGAATTCTATAGTTACATATCTGCCTAATTCCAAAAGGAATGTAAATTAGTGAAAGCCGGTGAATACATGCTGTCCTCCTACCCAGGTCTACTTTCCCTTTTAGATATTCTTACAAGCTTACTGCATGGTAATGTCCTTACGTATTAAGTCAGTGCAAAATATATTAGCGACAAATTTACTCAAACTGATCACTAAGTCAGAAGTTATCTTGCGTCCTGAGAAATATCGCATAATATTTAAACCTTGTTCCTGATGGTAGACACTGTGAAATGTGAAAGCAATTTTGGTTCTACTTCTGCTTAGATGCTAACTAAAACTTGTTTGATACCATAAATACCGTTTACTGTAACCCAACAGGTAATAAAGGTGACTACAGGAGACCATCGGATTGGCAGCTCAAAACAATTTTGCGTTTTAAGCTACCTATGATGCAGATATGATGATTTTGATGGCTACCGAGATTATGGCCGCTCAAGATTACTAGTTTCTGGAAAGAATTATGTTTCTAGCTAGCACGTGTGAAATTGTTGTTTTTATCTTAGACTAGTCATGAATTATGCAGATCCTATAATCTGAAGTCACACGATTCTCGAAAACTTGTCCAAATATCGGCGAAGGAAAACAAGCAACAAATTTCATATCTGCTGCATAACCAAGATATCAAAGATCACTATCACACCACCCGATAAGTGTAATTACAGATCATCAATAGAGTGAAACAATAATAAGTACACTATTTAGAGAAATCAGGAAGGTTCAAAATGTTTTTCTCGATACTGATATCGATACACTGACACACAGATGAAGTGACAAAGCTTTAGTGCACACAACTTTGATTTTCTCACAGGGTGGTCAATAAAACAAACATGAAACGTATTAAGTCGTTGTATTCTGATGAGTTGCACCCTCGATTGTCACTCACTAGCCGATACAATTCATACACCACTCACATTTATTACGTATTGTCCTCACACCATACTGCTTAAGGAGCAGGATAATCGCCATATGTCAGGATTTCAACGACGAAAAAAGAATTATTTGACAACTACCATATTATTTGCTAAGGTATTAGGAAAAATAATGGCGAATTAGCAACCAATGTAGAAAAACATAGCTTTTCAGTAGCAGAGCAGAAAGGATTACGGCCTAAGCGACGTCTTGCGAATTAATTAATTTCCACATCTTTGAATATCAGATGTTACAAATCCAATTAAATTAGGAATAACACTTCAGAGTGACCTAAGTGAATCGACCGGTCGATTTGGCCAAATAATCATAACGTTGGTGCATCGACATCCATTCTACCTAAAGTGCAGTGATAAACACTGGCCAAGTGCCTTATTCGCTAGATGAATTAGTGTTGCTTTAAGTAAGAAACTATTAGCATCACATGGTGCAGACTGCACGGAATAGTAGGCAATCGGCAGACCGTTCGGGACACCACGGCTGCTCTGCACGACCTTAAGATCCCCTGATAGGGATATTTAGGATAATTTACGAAACAGTCAAGTACAATTCTTGAACACCACAAGTAGCTAATACGTTCTACTCAAATAAACAAATAACTGTGCAGAAACTAGTGTAAGGGTTACAAATATAAGTCCACAATCGTGAAAGTTAGGACTTGTATTACACCTGACGGTCATGAATTAAATCTAGACTTTCCAACAGTAAGCGCTTGCACGGTAGATTGTAACTATATGGTCGGGACACTAAGGATTGCCACAAGTTACTACGTCAAGGTCAGGTGCTCTTAATTCTGGACTAATTATACCAGGTAACTATGTGGCAGATCTTGGTCTAATCGAAAAAGACCACTACATAAACCCCGATACAGACATGTGAGATAGTAATGGGTAAATATATTAAAGAAGTATCTAAATATATCACATACAGACATTAGGGCGACAATTGTATATCCGTTTTTTGAGAGTAGCGCCACGTGTTCTATCAGATCTGCATTTGTGTTGTCTCGCTTCAATACATGGGCCAAAGATGCTAGCATGGTTCCTTGAAAATCCGAAATTATACGTTGAACTGTTGAGCCCACTGTATCGCCCACCCCATTATACTGAGCAGACATCAGTTTCAAGTGACATTTTTTGATGAAAGTGTAGCTTTACTACTATAACCAGAGATATATTCACCTCTTTATATGCATCTTGGGTTAGATCAAGACTAGAAATATGTGTCCAGTTGACAAGTCCTTGTCTTGAAAGAGACTCAAATATTCTAGAAGAAGGTTCAAAAGAAGGCAACACGTACGATTCTTGGCATGACTAATTTATCATACGGGGAAAGAATAAACAGTTTAAACCTGTTCTCCTTATCACACCGTGGCAGAAAGTATATATACTTACAACGTTTCAAATCTTAAATAGTGACTGCTGACCTTATACGCTCTCTCGAGTCATTCCTGCCAGGTAGGAACATCTAAGAGGACATTGTAGGAGAGTTTAGAACCCAATGAGATAGTATATTGCTGTGAAGTGCTGGTTCTCACACCAAATTATCAACTCCTGGGATCGATTCCCAGAAGAATTGATGTCAGCGCCCTCAAATGAATCACTCAAGAAGGGTATGGAAAAGCACAGAAATTCACTAGAAAATTATTAATATAGTCTTCAGGCCTTTTATCTTCAATCAACAAATCTGAATCTGAAATTTAACCCAGCTACATAATACAATGCCACGGATAAAATGTGATTTGGAAAAGATATTTTAATGCGAAATTTCATATAAAAGGCATTTAAAAAGACTTTTTACCAAATCATCGTGGCAATGGATTACTATGCTACAAATGCAACGATGCTACTCCTGAGATAACTACTCAAGAAGCACTCCATCATGTCCGCAAATACCGGACGACTGATATTCAATTTTTGGTCCACAAGGATTTTGGTTTTGGTTAGAGGGTTCCACTCAGCTATTAATACTTACCAAACTGTAAAAAACATGTACATCTCCAGTCCCATCTCGAATATCACAGTTGAGGGCGCAGACACTAGTTCGTATAACAGTCCGCTCCTTGAGGTCATAGCTAGTGAGATGACCAGCACTCCCCTCTGAAAGGGTCTGACATATCCGATAGGGTGTATACTGGGTCCGTAGTCGTTTCTCAAAATTTTGGACATCGTGAGTAGCTCTAGTCTCTGCCTGTTATCACAAAAGAAGAAGATTTCGACTATCGAGTGATTCCATATGCAGATCATATATGCGGCATTCTGATGGAATCCTCCTAGAAAATATGAAACCCGCTTGAGTGAGCGGCCAGTTGTCTGAAGAAGGGAAACAGGAGTGTACCTCGCCTATGATATTTATAAAGTGGCATATATTTCACCAGTGATTCTGGCAAATTATTTGCGTCTTTTCTGTGTATACAAAACGCAGCCTGCCACCGTGCGACGGTTCGATGCAGATATTTTGTAGCGGACTATTATGAGCGTGCATTAGAACTGGAGGCGGTGGTATCCCCTCCATGCCGCAGGCAGTAACGCCCACGTGTCCAGGTGGCATGGCTGTGAACCTTACTATGTTGATGGAGAAAATGGTTGTTGGATCGCTCTAGAAGACTTCTAAGATCTCTCTGCAATAGGAACTTAGGGCTAAGTTCCTGGACAGTTTTATTCATTTTCTGAAGCACTTTTTGGAACTCATCCGGGTTTACCTACTGGATCTGAACCAAGCTTCTCTTTGGACACGGATGACCAACGAAATTTGGATCCTTTGGTGACGTTGGATAATGCCTGGGTCAAGGAAGGGAAGTGGCACCATGGAAGCAGACGAAACAGCAAGTAACGATGATTTGCATGTTAATTGTAATGATATGCATGATGACTCTGATGTCCATGTTTCACCGTCTAGTGATAATAAAAATTTCAAAATTCCTAAGTTTGAACCTCCGTAATTTGATGGAAACCCAGCCGACTATCCACAGTTTGTAAAGGAGTTTGAAGTCATGTTGAGTGGGTCTGCGATAAATGACGAAATGAAGTTGATGTATTTGATGAGGTACTGCACTGAAGTTGCTTCGAGAGCTATACAATGCTGTAAGGTTATGCCCACAAACGAGGGATATTCTGAGGCGATGCGTATCCTGCGTTAAAGATCCGGAAGACCTTCGATGGTTGTAAGGAACGTATTCGAGGCTGTTAACGGTAATGGTGGTCAATTAGGAGATGACTCCAAGGCACTCTCTGAGACTTTGGATAATCTGATGACTTACAAGAATACGTCGACTTCGATGAATTGAATGAGCGATCTGAACTCAGGTTCTGTCCTAGAGATATTAGCGAGACGCCCACCTACTCGACTGCAAAGGAAGTGGGTGAAGATAAGCTCCCGTATAGAGGACGAAGGTTTAGAGGCAGGGCTCGACGATATAGTGAGATTAGTAACAGACAATGTTAATCAGACTTTGAGTAAATTCGCCGGTATATGGCATTCAGCTTCTGAAAATGAAAGGTCAGAGAGCAAGACGCTATCATTTATGACGAAAGGGTCTCAGAGAAGTGGATATCGAGAAAGCTTTATGGTATCTAGTAATCCATACAAACCCAATGAGTGTGACAGCTTTCGTGGGACGTCTACAACAGATAGGTTACAAGCTGCAAGACAAACACGGTTGTCAATGTATTTGAAGATTGAACGATCAATTCACGGTTTTTTGCTCAAACAAAACTCTTCGATATTTCTCGCGGGAATCATCAATAAGACAGTCATCGTCTCATCGTTTGCTGTTCAAAGGAAGATAAAAAACTATCGGAAGTGTTATCGTGATTTACTGTTATAACATTTATTCCTAGACATTGTGTAATAACATTATTGTTGGTTATATGTTGGTGTAAGAATAAAGGATTCTTGAGTCGCCAATCAGTATTTTTGTTTTCGCGTTGGTTAATACAAAGCGTTTCTGAAAGTCTTCGAGGGACAACGTGAGGTCCAGAGTAGCAAGAGATGGACACTGACAGTTTATGAGACTTGAGTGACAGCGGTCGTGTTTCGTCCGTTTGCAAGAAGTGCACACAAAGGCGAACTGTGAAGAAGTGACCAAATTTAGTGGTAAGCTAAATGTGAAATTAGCGTCATCAAGTTCTGACTCCGAATGGTGTGATGAAAATGGTGCGGTGAAGAAGCCTGCAGTTGCAACCAGTAAGCCATTGTTGAACAGAGTGTCGCAGATGACACCGCAGTTTGTGCAGGAGAAGAAGGTCGCACTTTCAGAGTCCAGTTCTGACTCCTCAAGTTTACAAGGTATTACTAGTCAGAGTAAAGGTATAGAACCTCTAAGGATTTAAGGGGAAGAACCCAAATTGTCTACCGCTGTTATTAAAGAGTTTGAAAATGACGAACTCAACCAGGTAGACGACGGTAGAGTGAATATTTATGATAATGATCATGGTAGTGAACTTTTGTCTTTGGCTGATCATGATGCGATGAACGGAATACCTACTACCGCTGAGTTGAACAAAGGTTCTGTACACTCTGAAAGGCAGAATCGGCTGCAGAAGTTATGGGTACTCATGAAACCGTCGGTGTAAATGATCAGCGTGTAGCCCACCTATCAACAGATGTTAAGACTGAACTGGAGCTAATCATAGAGGATAGGAGTGGTGGTAATCCCACGGTTAGACAAACTTCTATAGGTCGAACGACAACAACTCCTGATCCACCGCTAAGTTCATCAACTTGTATCTCTCAGTCGTCGTTGGCATTGTCACCCACAATGAAACGGACGTCCATGAACTCATGTGTCTTATGCTATGACCATGGTAGTATCGGTCCATCTGAAAGGACAATAGTTAATGGTCAGTTGAATGAGGATAAGCCGACTGACTATGTATGAGAGTGTATCTGTTAAACTGACTTGCACGAATAAAGGCATTTCAAGTTTCAAGTTACTATTCGAATGCTATTATCTTTGGTGTAAATTACTCTGTGTCTACGCTTGGTTGACCAGATACGTCGTTTGTTTGTTCGTCATCTATGTTCTACGATACAATGACATGAGCCTGTTACCGTTCAGATTTGAGGATATAGCTGCTAGAAGGAAGTCAGCAAATTAACTCTGAGACAATTTTCCAACCTAGGGCATCAACCTGAGAAGGGTTGTGGGTGTACTGCTGTAAGTCCTACAATTCTTCAAAGGGTAGCGCACCAGTGAGCAGTCCAACGTGCTTGGTGTGTGATTTTGTACATATGTTCATGTTGTATATACTGAACCGGTATCACCTCTCATCTGTCTGTTGATAATTTTGTTTGTGTCCGGACGACTTCCACTTGGATCATCAACCTGAGAAGGAATGTAGGCGTACTGCTGTAAGTCCTACAGTTCTTCAAGGGTAGTTCGTCAAGGCAGAATCCACAACATTTGATGTATTGATTGTACATATGTTCGTGTTAAGTAATTGAGTGGGTTCCAATTAATGTGATTATTGGTTAATCTTCTTTGCGTCCGGACATTTTGCAACTTACAATCGTCAACCTGAGACGGGCTGCAGGCGTACTGGTGTAATTCCTGCAATTGTTCAAAATAATTCCATCAATATATGATCCGCGAGGTTGTGTGCACTGTTCGTATATATATGTCTAGTATATCATATCAATTGGTGTTTTGGGATTCATTGTGTTTACTTTGTTTTATTGCATAATTTTGTTAAATTTTTCGTCGTGATTACTTCTGAAATTGTTTCGAGTCTTCTACATCCATGAATGAATTGACTGATGTTGAAGGCAGCAGATGGGTCGTATACGCCGGGTAGGCTAGAGCTGAGAATGACATACATACGGAGATAATGATTAGCTGTGATCCCACACGCTGGGGAGCGGGAGTGTAGACGACTGAGGCCTGCGTACATCGCCGTTACTAGAACTGAGGCAGAATGAGTGACAAGCGATTTCAGTGGTAATTGGAAGTGAATAGATAAGAGGATGTGCGTAGAGTATCATGAGGTGCTGCTATGTTCACGTTGCATTCTGCAAGATTCATTCTAGCAAGTGGCGATTGTAATGCAAGATGTCAAGAGGATGCCTTTAACTGGAAGGTGTAGGTCGTCGTTGATGTGTGAGATTGTGCTGTGGGTATGCTTGTGGTGTGTTGGCTTTTCTGTTTGTCTTCCATTTCAGCTCTGTCCGTGTGACCC